TAATAATAATAATAATAATAATAATAATAATAATAATAATAATAATAGGAACACAATACTCCGGATATCACGATTATGGAGAAGAAAAAAGTGTGGACTGTCAACATTGCCATACCTGATGACAGCAGAACCGACAAGAAACAACTTGAAAAAATCACTTAAAATCGAACTACAGAGACTCTGGCATAAACCAATGCAGGTGGTTCCAGTGGTACTTGGCACATTGGGTGCTGTGCCTAAAGATCTAGGCAAGCACTTAAAAACAATTGGTGCTGACAAAATCACCACTGGTCAGCTACAGAAGGCCACCTTACTGGGATCTGCTCACATAATCCGCCGATACATCATGCAGTCCTAAACGCTAGGGAAGTGTTTGACTAGTGATTTGTGATACGAAATCCAGCATGGTTATCTTGTTTGCTGTGTACACTGTCATTTTTGATGATAATAATAATAACAACAATAATAATAACAACAACAACAACAACAACAATTTGCCTGCAAGAACTGGTGGGAACCATAAAGGCACAAGAAATGAAGAAGCTAAAATGTTCTGAAACTTTAGAATTCAAAACGACAGGCAACTGCCACATAACAATCCCAGACTTAAACAACTGTTGATAAGATAAAAAAAAAGTCTGGATAATGGACGTGGCAGTACCTGAAGACAGCAGAAGAGAAGAGAAAGAACTGGAGAAGATAACAAAATATAAAGATCTACCAATTGTAACAGAACAGCTGTAGCAAAGGCAAGCAAGGGTAGTACTAATAGTAATAAGCACCTTGGGTGCAAACACAAAACTGGAGCACTACTTGAATACCACCCACGTTGACAAATTCATCATCAGTCAATGGCAAAAGGGCGCTTACATCCAGCAACAATGCGTCTAATATCATCAAACATCCACATCTGCCTATCCCAGGTCCCTGGGAAAGATTCTATTGCAACAAAGCAAAATAATAAAAAAATGTGGGGGGGCATTCCCACAATTAAGGGTTGACTCACTGTAAATGTAGGATAGCTGGAAGAGCATTCCTAGAGGGCACTTCAACTGACTGACGAAC